AAAAAAAGAGAGATAAAAAAAAAGGAACATGTGTCAATTCTTCACGGGCACGAAAAGGGGCTACGCTTGTTCTACGTACCTAGTACTACGTACGTACTTTCCTCCCCCCCCCCCCCCCCTCCCTTGAAAATAAGACGGACCCATTTTACCCCCGCAAAATCGTAGCATGGTGGTTGTCTGAATGGCTTGAAGCCCTGTCCGCTCTACTTACTGCACAGACTAAATACTACGTACTACGTAGTCCTTTGTTTCAAGATGCTTTTCCAAGGCTGGATCGTTAGGTATAGTTCGGGCCCTGGTCAGACAGAGCTTTTGCCGAAGCATACTATACTTTCGTCTGTTGTTTAAACGGGGGAGAGGGAAGGGGGATACAGTAGGTAGGTAAGGTAGGTAGTACAGGGTCGCGAACCGCGTTGGCTACTGTACCGGTATGCGATCCCGCAGCATCTCTTGCGCCTCTTCCAGAGAAGACGTCCGATAGAGGAGGAGGTGTAGACTGCTCGTGTATGAGCGAACGGCGTGGTTGGGGATTTGGAAATAGCTGTCGTGCGGTCACGGGGTTACAATACGGTGCTGGAAACGGCAATGTGCTTCTTGGGCACAGTGGGTGCGCGCACGGGAGAGGGTAGCTCGCTTCTGCTGTAGTGGCAGACGGGATAGCAGCGGCGGCTGTATCACTCAAGGACGGGACGGTACGCTACGGTAATGTTGAAGTGCGGATGGCTTCTGTGTTGGTTAGCGGTGATGGGGTTGGGCGGTGGAGATGTTCACGGTGCGATGCTGGGCTCTGCAGTGGGGATGGGATCTCGAAGTAATAGTAGTAACTTACTGAGGGCGCTCTTCGGCAGTGCAGCTCCACCTTGCCCCTTGCAAATTTCTACAGTACGTACAGTGGTACAGCGGTTAGGTGTCGTGACCCTCGTCGACCCACAGCCACTTTTTCTAACCTACTAGGTACTTACTACTACGTAGTAATTGGGTTCTGTTAAAATAAGGTTCTTCAAAATTCCCGTGCCTACTGTAGCGATTTACCTTCTTGCCTAAGTGGGTTAGAGATAGTCGCCGTGGGTCGACGAGGGTTGCGACACTTCACCGCTGTACCTCCGTAATGCAAATCTTGGGCGTCCTCGATACATCCAAACTCGCATATTTCGCACGGTAGATGTTGCTTAGGCAGCCCTGTTGTGACACCTTGTTGGTATGGTACTATACCCCTCAACCGTCGGTACAGTCCCGTTATGAAAGAAAGCCTTTTCTATCCCCTCTCTCCGGTAGAGGAGCTAACGTACCGTACAGTAAGTATATTCATACGACGTCTGATCCCGGGCCCCGGAGCCTGCGGAGGGCCGGCAGGGGACCTCGCCTCGCCCCGGTCGTGGTGCAAGGCTGCCTTCCGAGGCCTTCAACGTTAACATTAACGCTCCGTCAATTTTCTAGGAAAAATAGGCTGACAAAGGATGTAACGGATGTAAAGAAGATGTAACGCTCCAGCCCGGCCGCAAGCTCCGGAGCAAGTTTGGTTTTCCGGACTTCGCGGTGTACTACTCGTCGCTGTATAATCAAATTATCATAATAGGTTCTTTCAGCGCGATGCATTTTATCTACCGGTATCGCAATAGTCCCTCTCAGGGCGATGCAGCAAGCGGTTTTCCGAGCATTTCTCTTCCTATTGTGAATTCGCTGTTGATCAAGTATTTCGAGAGGGAAAAGAGTCTGTAATCGTAGGTTTTAACCGCAAAGAGTGGATGTCGATTGCAAGATTGCAACGGTAGCTTATTGAACCCGCAAGATTCCCATTTTTTTAAAGCGATGTTAGTAAGCGATTAATTAGTCAAGTCTCTGGTGTTCTTCGATGGTCCAGGCTCGAATGGATGCACCTAGGTACCGGTAATCAACGTCACGGCCGTGGGTCAGGTGACTGCGTCTTTAACAGTTCACAGGACCCACATTTAGCTCAACATTAGACTACCAGAAGATTAGACTAGATAGATAGATAGAGAGATAGATATCGCTCGTGAACGGGGTTATGGGGGGGTACCTTTATACAATGGCTCCCCTTAGTATCTGCTTGCATTCCAAGTTCTAAGCCATCGCATACATAATACAGTTAGTCAGTCCCCTGGCTTTCCGTACGGCTCTGCGGCTGCTAGCACATCCGTTGCATCTTGTTTCTGTGATCCACAACAGAGAATCCCCCAGAAGCTACCGTACATCGCGCCAGCCCGGAAGCACCTCGCCCATTGCTCATTGAGATTATCAATTGTTGACGCGCGCTCGGTCAGGGTACGAGCCACACCCTCTCCCACACTAGGACAGAGTGGACTGACTGGCTGTTTCTCCACAAAGCAAGTCCCCGGAGCAAGGAACGTCTATCACATCGCAAGCATATCGATTGTTGATGCTTGACTTGCTTTTCGAGGAAGAAAGAAAGCGGCACGCGCTGTCTCCATGAGCCTTGGAGCAGCCCGTACAGGCTCTACACGGCATCTCTGCAGGACTCACGAACGGGGCATACACATGTCCGTAAAAAGCATATGAGGTACGTAGTCATTTCTCGCCAGCGGGGGTCAACAGTCCCTCCCGCAAGCGAGGCGGACCCACCTCGGCAAATCGTCAACATCAACCCTCACCGTCAACAACAACTATCTCTTGAACAGAATTCCTAAAATCTAAAAACATTTTGATTTCCCCCATATATATATATATATATATATGAATATATTTTGGTGGAAAACCGCAAGACTCAACTGCAAGCTCACACCAACCGGGTAAGGAATAACAGCACAAGGTCCTATCTAGTCCATAAACCTAACTTAACCGGACAGGTTTCTACCCATCACCGAGGGTTGGGTCTTCCAGCGAGATTTCCCACCCACTACATGAGAATCTCGAGGGTTTCGAAGCGGCCAAGACATCGCGCCCCCGCGTTCCACCAGTTGTGGAAGACGGTGCTGGAAGTGGTTCACATGAAAGAGATGTTTTTTTATTTATTTAACCGTGCAAAAAGCGAGAACTACCCAAAAGAAGACGACAAGGACGGACGGACGAGGGAAGCAAGCAAGCAAGCAAGCCACCTCGCGAGAGTGAGTACCCACCAAGCGCCGCAATCCCCGCTTACAAGTTCCCATCAGCCTTACACACTGACGACTATCTACTATACAATCTAGGTACCTACCCAAGCCAAGCTGAGTAGCTTAGCTGGGTACGTCATCGTCATCCCTCCCTTTTTCCTCTCCTCTCTCACTCTCACTCTCACCCGCATCCCAACCAGCTACCGGTATCCCATCCCTTCCTTCCCCCCGCTCAAGTCGCAACACCAACATCAACACCAACATCAACAGCAACAGCAACATCAACATCAACAATACAGTACAGCACAGTAGATAACCGCACGCAAACAACGACCCCCCCCCCCAGTAACATCTCGCAGTTTTCCACCCCCCCGCCAACGCAGGGCTCGTCCACCACGCGATAGAGGTGTAGCTACCTACTTGCGGCTGTGTGGACCCGGAGAGGGCACGGCTGTAACGTGCTTGATCATCTGTCTCTCACTTTCACTTTCACTTTCACTTTCACTTTCACCCCTTCTCCCCTTCTCCCCAGCCAAAAAACCCCGCCCCATAAATCTCAGCCAGAAAGAAGCTCAAGCCCGCACGAGCTTCCAGTCTGCAGTACAGACCCAGACCCAGGTGGATGTGAATAGATTTTTGGCCGGGGCGGGGAAAGGGGGGGGCTCAGCAACCTCGTGTACGTACTTGGGAGCGGCGAGCGGCTAGACTGACCACCGTGCTGTTCCTCGCGGTTCGGGGATGGATTGAGGGGGGAGGGGGGGAGGGGTGGGGGGGGGGGGGGGGGGGGTATAGA